GTGCCGCCCGTTGCGCAGCTAAACAGACCACCAGTGTTCAGAGGGGCATGCCGAAATAGAGGGCTCTGAGCGCCTAAAACGGCCCTGGGCCGGCCATGCAGCTCCTGAAAACACAGAGCGACATCCCAGTGCCCAGGGCACTCTTCAGTGGTCAGAGCTACCCTCAGTAGCCAGACAAACCCCCGAGCAGCTAATAGGCCCCTGAGAGGTCATAGGGATACTGAACAGGTGAGAGAGCCTTGTGCGATTGGTAAGAGCCCAGAGCGTCCAGAGGGCCCATATTCGGTCAGTGAGGCCCACGAGCAGCCAGAAGAGCTCTCGGGCGCTAGAAGGGTCCTCTGGGTGGCTAAAAGCGAAGTATCCACAGGGTCGTGAGGATATATCTATATACTCTGGCGAGTAAACGGATCGCTGAGCCGTCAGTGGGCTATCAACAATCCAACAAGCGCTGAAGCGGCCGGATAGGCTCAAGAGCGATCAAAGGTTCCCCTGCATGACCAGGGGTTTGGGTGCCCACCAACGCCCCTGGGCGGTGGGAGGGGGACCTCATCTATCAGAGGGTTGGGAGAGGTCAATACCGCCCTGAACGTTGATTGCATTATCACTTTAAGACGCACTCAGCTGCTGCAGTTATATGGCGTCACCTATCTCTCACCGTGGCAGGAAGGGCAAACACTGCAGGAAAGAAACACCGTACCTATAGTTTCTCAGACGCGCGTTATTACCACTACACTAGAACGGCCAAAGACCTTCTGGGTGGTTTCTTGGGTACTTTGCATGATGAAGGGTTTTTGAGATGTCAGAGGGGCCCTCAAGTCCCTAAAACGGTCAGAGTGCCCATATAGTCACCTAAGGGGCTCACCGCAACAGGGGTCACAGGCTGGCAACAGGGGTACATCGAGTGGGCAGTACCGAGTAGCCTCTGCTTATTCCGTTTTCAGACCGTCTTCCTTTGTACTGCACTCAGCAAAACATTTCTCTGGACTGCCCCCTAACCCTGCCAATCTCACGAGCCTTCATTTATGACGTCAGCAGTCAGCGGGTACGTTAAGCAATCAGAGCGAAATGCCAGTGGCCGGAGAGTTCCTTGGTGGTCAGAGGAGTGGCCCCTCCATGGCTAGACAGGCTCCAGAAGAACTAGGCCCCGATGTGCTAGGAGAGGCACTGAGCAGACCAGACAGCCCCGAACATTAACCGAACTCCTGGGCGTCCAGAGTGGCTTTGAGATATCACAGGTTTAAAGAGCAGCCAGAAGGGTTCTATGCCGGTGGAAAACAGCCCTTAACCAACAAGCTCGGGAGGACCTGGAAAATCCAAAAGAGGCCCTAAGTAGCTGTAAGGGTCCCCAAAAGCGCAGATTGCCGCTGGTGGACGGGAAGAGCACGCTTAACAGCCGGAGGGGTGCCAGGGTGGTCATATGGGCCTATTGAGCCCCCAGAGTATCTGGTGCTGTCTGAACTTCTATTCCGAATCTCCAGCTATTCTTTTGGACGAGGGGTAGTTTCGCCCTCCACGGCTGAGCCCATGCCTTTTCTGAGAAAGGAAGGCTGTTTTCTTGCGGCTAGTATGGTGTGTCAAGTGTGAACAGCCTTTTCTGTGTCTTAAAAACAGCCTGGATATCTGGATAGCGTGGTATCCTGGATAGCCCTGACAGCCTGGATACCCACATATCCACTTTCTGCCTCGATCGGATTACCTCATTGACTTTCCTTGAAAGCTCGTGCCTCTCGTCGCTGAGGACAGGAACGCTCAATCGCGGTATCGCCAATCAAGTCAACAATCCCCAAAAAATCCAACCTAGGCATGCATGAAACTGCAGTGCAAATGCCCATTGCAGAGGTTTGGGGCATTGCCCGCCACCGCGCGCCCCACTGATATCACAACGATTGAGACGCACCTTTGCGGCCAGACGCACTGTCAGATACAGTCTGTTCAATATGTTCCTCTGTCTCGTATGGTGCACCAAGAGTCGGCCGTTAAAACAGCAAATCGGCCGACAGGGTTACAAATTGGAAATACACCAACACATTGCCGACCAACCACAGAGTCAAGCTGCCAACACAAAGTCTTAGGATGCTTTTGCCACCGTTTTTGGGATGGAACATAAAAAAGATGTAACGGTGCCGTATGGTACGGTAAAAGGCCTTGACGAACAAACCTGCTGGTGTGTGACAAAGTTTAGTACCAAGGAGGCCTCACGTTAGGTTATGTACTGTGCTCTGCAATGTTTTGTCATCACAGCTACCGCAAGTTTCAGTTAGATACATTTTTAGAACCAAGTGTCTTGTAAAATATGCATTTTTGTCGCCGACTGTGCCCACCAAGTCGGCGCGTTTTTTATAACCCCTGAACTTTGCTCGCACAAGGACTCACCACCTTCAGCTTGGGCTCCTCAGTCTGTTCGGAGGACCCTACGCTGTTATCGCGGAGGCCCTGTACGTTCACCTGCCAACGCACTCTCAATCGCTCGAGAGCCCCCCTCCCCCTGCATTACTCTTGGGTTCTTTCCGTTCGCTTGGAGGGCCCTGCGTTCTGACCTGACTCCAGATGTTAACCTGTCGGGGCGCTCGCAGTCGTTCAGGGGCCCACCGCATTGGGTTTGGGTTCTTCTCACTCGCTGGAGGGCCTCACGCTGCTAGCGGGAAGCCTCTTGCTGTGGCGCCGTTGGCCGCTCAGGTGCTGTCCCTGCTGGTTTGGTTTCCCCCCTATCATCGGAGGCTCCACGCTGCTGGCGACCCTGCATGTTAATCAGTCGGAGCACTCTGAATCGGCTGGGGCCCTCCACATCGATCTCAAGCCCTTCTCAAGAAGTCAGAAGGGCCGCACTCTGCCGTCGAAGGCCTCGCATGGGCTCGCGAGCGCCAGCATTTCCGGTACTCATGGTGTTTTGCATTCTCGCGCATACGGGCCTGGCTTAATTAGTTCATGTACACAAGTCCGCGATCTGCACGATGATAGCTGTCCTTTGGCATCTGACTGCACATAATGTGTGTGCATATGTTCCAATGAATCTGTATGCACAAATGCCTAAGATAATTCTACGGTCCAACGACGTCGTACGATTCATTTTTCTTGGCTGTTGACTCTGCGACATTCATTACATTTGTGCATCACATTCTTAACACAGTTTGAATGCTGGTGAATTCTTACGCCTTCACTGAAGTCAAAAGAGTCATTAGCCACCATGAGTCATGAGCCATCAGCTGATCTTAACATAAATTATAGTCTGGTCACTGGAAACCTGTCAGCCAGGAGCAACGTTGGGACCATATGTCTTGCTTGATTTTGAAATCATTTAGAAGCTAATTTTCCCTCATTTCATCGCATTTTATCCAAAATACTTGGCCCCGAAGTGACAGACTCCTCCATGATCTGCAGTAAATTAATGCACTCGATGTTTGTAAATTTGTACCAAGCCTAGTTTTCTATGGTTGCGCACAGGAAGATGTTCTCCCGCGTAAAACATGGCATATGCAGGATCTTAAAATCAGCAGCCCAAATCCGTTTTTTGACGGCCCGAAGCACCAGGGGCATTCCCAGTGTTGTGTAGCCACCCCTCGACGAAATCCAGGTGCCTTCTCCACTGTACCTTCATGACACGTCGGTTGTGCATATGAACTACTGGCCGATCAAAGGCCCCCGTGATTGCAGAGTGCGGTGACAGTGCGGTGACAGTGCGGGGACAGTGCGGAGGCAGTGCGGTGACAGTGCGGAAACAGTGCGGTGACAGTGCAGTGACAGCGCGGTGGCAGTGCGGGGACAGTGCGGTGACAGTGCGGGGACAGTGCGGGGACATTGCGGTGACAGTGCGGGGACAGTGCGGGGACAGTGCGGGGACAGTGCGGTGGCAGTGCGGGCAGTGCGGGGACAGTGCGGGGGACAGTGCGGTGGACAGTGCGGTGACAGTTGCCGGTGACAGTGCGGGGACAGTGCGGGGACAGTGCGGGGGCAGTGCGGGGACAGTGCGGGGGGACAGTGCGGTTGACCTGCGGTGGGTGACAGTGCGGTGGATCAGTGCGGGGACAGTGCGGTGACAGTGCGGGGACAGGCGGGACAGTGCGGGGGACAGTGCGGTGACAGTGCGGGGACAGTGCGGGAACAGTGCGGGGACAGTGCGGGGACAGTGCGGTGACAGTGCGGGACAGTGCGGGGACAGTGCGGGACAGTGCGGGGACAGTGCGGTGGACAGTGCGGGACAGTGCGGGGACAGTGCGGTGACAGTGCGGGGACAGTGCGGGGACAGTGCGGGGACAGTGCGGGGACAGTGCGGGACATGCGGGGACAGTGTGGGGACAGTGCGGGGACAGTGCGGTGACATGCGGGGGACAGTGCGGGGACAGTGCGGTGACAAGTGCGGGGACAGTGGGGACAGTGCGGGGGAACAGTGTGGGGACAGTGCGGGGACAGTGCGGGGACAGTGCGGGGACAGTGCGGTGCGTCACGCCCGCGATCGCGTGCTCTGGCTGTCGCAGCACGTGGCGGGACCTAGCCTAACGTACTAAACCATGACTTTGACCTGACCTGTCAGTGCTTTCGCGTGACATGAGGTAAAACTACGGATGAAATGTGACCCCAAATTGTAGAAGGCACTGGTGAGTAGTGTTCACAGTGCGGTTTAGGCCGATGTCCTCGTTGTGGGGAGTTTTCGACGGCCTCGCCAGAGTCACGCAGTGATGATTGGACTGCGCCAATCAGTGTGACGCCAATGATATTTGAGACGTGACCTGACCCTTGTCCGTATTAGGGAGTGAACCGTGACCGCGCCACGGCTACAACACCAAGTGCTGACTGGCAGCGTACCATGTCACCACCACTAAACAGCCCTGAGCTGCCGCGATGGTCGTGATGGAGGGGGTGCTGAGCCATCCTGTAACCGGAACCCAGCATGCTGATTGTGTCAAAGAGTGTACACGGGCCGTGCTCTAACCGCATGACCGGCTCTGCCAGCCGCGCGTCAGAGGATGTACTTCGGCGGCGCTATAAGCCTGTCTCGGCTCGGCCGCGCCACACTGGAGAGCCGTTCGACTCACGGAGGCACCGCTCGAGACCGGCTCGCCAACATGGATCTGAAGCTGGTGAGTTCGTGACGGCGTCGTGTGCACGCGTCTGTACTCGGAGCCCCCGGATCTAGTCAACATGGATCTGAGGCTGGTGAGTTCGTGACGGCGTCGTGTGCACGCGGCCGTACCCGCAGTCCCCGCAAGAAACTCCGCTGTTCGCGTCGTCACAGGTCACCAAGTCGTCTCCGGAGAGTCTTTATGAGCGCGACTAGATGCTGTGTGGTGTAAGATCTGTGAGATTTTTCATTGCTGAGAGCTATACGGTCTGGTGGTGTAGCATATTCTGCGACCGTGCTATGCGTAAGCCATGAATGCCATAAAGGTATCCCATTCATTTGTTATATAGGCCATGCATGCTATGTACCTAATTCCGGTAGTCCTACCAGAGCGAATGGTTTCTAAATCGTCTTTTTAACGATAAACGAATCAAATATGCTTGAAACCACAAGCAAGCAGAGAAATGGGTCCCATTTGGGGCGACCACAATGCGAGCTCGGAGGGATATCATACCTCTTCAGTTTCCATGCCAGTTTCCAGCCGCCATCTAGCCTATTGGTAGTGAGGCTGTGGTTTGTGTGCTTGTCTTTGTAATTTTCAACTGATGAAACCATTCTACAGATCGTGGTATCTGAAGTGGGAGTCAAATATCTGTTTTTCTTATTCGACCCTTCCGCCACGTATTTTGTGAGGTTTTATGACAGCACAAGCAAACGCCAACGTGCCGTAGCATCTAAACCATGATCTGCAGCCTTTAGCGTCGTCCTTGGTCGTGCTCAACAACACCTTGAAATGAAAACGAGCTTGTGCTCATTTCCGTGCTATTTGCCGTCCTACAAGCACATACTGTCAGTATTGGAATACCATTGGCCCCACAGCTTTCATCCGCCTGTATCCCGGAGCGTCAGTTCCAAACTCCAGTGTTGGTGTTTTTTGCGCCCGTTTGACGCCCATGCCTCTAGCTGCGATTCAGTTGAAGGAGATTATCGATTCCGTTCCTGATATATATGCAAAAACAGGTCCTAACCAATGTGCCCATGTTATTTACGTTTCACGGCGGGCGAGACGACAATCCACATTAGGGTCGCGTCTAAGGTGCCGTCTTTAGGTCCGTCGCGTCTTTAGTGCCGACTCACGCGGCATTTTCGGAGTGCTGACTCACGCGTGGCGGCGAACTCGAAACCCATCGCCGCCTGATTACCGATGGAACCCCTGTGAGTCCCGTCCATCGCCGCCTACTGATACGATGCCCTTGAACCAGTCCATCGACCGCCTGACTACGAGAACCCTGTGAGTCCCGTCCAATCGCCGCCATGACTTTACCGATGGAACCCCTGTGAGTCCCGTCCATCGCCGCCTGACTTACCGATGGCAACCCCTGTGAGTCACGTTCCATGCGCCTCCTGCCTACGATGGAACCCCCTGGTGAGTCCCGTCCATCGCTCGCCTGACTACCCGATGGACACCCCTGTGAGTACCTGTCCATCGCCGCCTGACTACCGATGTGGAACCCTGTGAGTCCTGTCCATCGCCAGCCTGACTACCGATGGAACCCCTGTGAGTCCGTCCATCGCCGCCTGACTACCGATGGAACCCCTGTGAGTCCCGTCCATCGCCGCCTGACTACCGATGGAACCCCTGTGAGTCCCGTCCATCGCGCCTGACTACCGACGGAACCCCTGTGAGTCCCGTCCATCGCCGCCTGACTACCGATGGAACCCCTGTGAGTCCCGTCCATCGCCGCCTGACTACCAATAGAACCCCTGTGAATTCTGTCCATCGCCGCCTGACTACCAATAGAACCCCTGTGAATCCTGTCCATCGCCGCCTGACTACCAATAGAACCCCTGTGAATCCTGCCATCGCCGCCTGACTACCAATGGAACCCTGTGATCCTGTCCATCGCCGCCTGACTACCGATGGAACCCCTGTGAGTCCTGTCCATCGCCGCCTGACTACCGATGGAACCCCTGTGAGTCCTGTCCATCGCCGCCTGACTACCGATGGAACCCCTGTGAGTCCTGTCCATCGCCGCCTGACTACCGATGGAACCCCTGTGAGTCCTGTCCATCGCCGCCTGACTACCGACGGAACCCCTGTGAGTCCTGTCCATCGCCGCCTGACTACCGATGGAACCCCTGTGAGTCCCGTCCATCGCCGCCTGACTACCGATGGAACCCCTGTGAGTCCTCCATCGCCGCCTGACTACCGATGGAACCCCTGTGAGTCCTGTCCATCGCCGCCTGACTACCGATGGAACCCCTGTGAGTCCTGTCCATCGCCGCCTGACTACGATGGAACCCCTGTGAGTCCTGTCCATCGCCGCCTGACTACCGATGGAACCCCTGTGATCCTGTCCATCGCCGCCTGATTACCGATGGAACCCCTGTGAGTCCTGTCCATCGCCGCCTGACTACCGATGGAACCCCTGTGAGTCCTGTCCATCGCCGCCTGACTACCGATGGAACCCCTGTGAGTCCTGTCCATCGCCGCCTGACTACCGATGGAACCCCGTGAGTCATGTCCATCGCCGCCTGATCCTACCGATGAACCCCTGTGAGTCCTGCGCCATACGTCGGCCTGACTACCGATGGAACCCACTGTGAGTCCTGTCCATCGCCGGCCTGAACTCACAATAGAACCCCATGTGAATCCTGTCCATCGCCGCCTGACTACCAGTAGAACCCCTGTGCAGTACTTGTCCATCGCCGCCTGACTACCGATGGAACCCCTGTGAGTCCTGGCCATCGTCGGCTGACTACCGATGGAACCCCTGTGAGTCCTGTCCATCGCCGCCTGACTACCGATGGAACCCCTGTGAGTCCTGTTCATCCCAACCCACCGTCCAGCCCAGCGCCATCCTGCCAGAAAGCCGGCCTCGGGCCGCGTGCGGCTCGCACCCGAGGCGGCTCCTCATGCAGCCAGCTGCAGCTCGTATCGGAAGCCGGGGTCGCAGCTCGGGGTCACCCGCGCCACCTCAGGGTCGGCATTCTGGCGCCTCACCGCTGCGTAGCCCCGTGTCGCTTCGTGCTACCTCATCAGCCTCGGTCTACAGCACGGTGTCATGCCATGCAGCAAGGTGCTACTGCCTATTGACAGTAGCGCGCTACAAATTCAGTGTGCTGCTCTGCTGCATTAGGGGCAGTAGCGCGTTGGTGTCGGCAGTGTTTGAGTGAACAAGGTAGCAGCAGAGGTGCCGAGACGTGACTGTGACTTTCATGAATCCGTGAATTAGGCGTAAATGCGAGCCACCTGGCTAACCCTCTCCCCCTCCCCATGAGCCCTCCCGCCCAGGTGTACAGCTCGTGGGCGTTGTCGTGTGTCGCACACTGGCGGGTCACAGCAGTGAGGCCGCCACAATGCTGTTTGGGAGCTTTTCCATGGCTCATGGGGCGTCAAACTGGCGATCCGGACCCTGCTGCAGGGAGGGGGGGGGGGAGAGAAGGGGCCAATCGGCACCCGCCGCCATCTCCATGGAAAGAAAAGCTAAAATTGTATTTTAGGTACATTTCTCTGCTAGATTTCCGCCTCAGATGCAGCTCTGTGTACTCGGCCTGGTGACCCGCTACTAACCCGGTGTCTCCCCCGCCTCAGACGCTGTTGTGTACCCGCTCTGGTGACCTGCCACTGACCCGGCGTCTCCCCCACCTCAGACGCTGTTGTGTACCCGCTCTGGTGACCTGCCACTGACCCGGCGTCTCCCCTGCCTCAGAGTCTGCTCTGCCTGGTCGTCATCTCAACCAGCGCCGGGATGACTTTGCAAGATCCGTACATCCATGACCTACCGGAGGACCAGCTGGCGGTGGAGACGGGTGGCCAGCCCACCATCGTCGAGGCCCCCTTCGACCGCACGCCGACCGCGCGCGTGCCTGGACCCGCCGCGGCCGACGCCGTGGTCTTTGACAGTAGGTGTCCTGTCGCCGCGCCGGCCGCAGATGGTCGGCCAGCCGGGGAGGCATTCTCCGTGCGCCGCGGCCAGAGGCACGTGCGGTTGTGTGTGCCGAAAAGGCACGCTCTATGAACTGATGCGCTGTTGGCGGTCAGACGCGGCTGTCGTAAGACCACGGGATGGCAGATACGCCGGACAGACAGACCACGTCTTGTGAGACTTCCCGACGGCAGACGCACCGACAGGCAGGTCACGTGAGACTTCGGGATGGCAGACGCACCGACAGGCAGGTCACGTGAGACTTCGGGACGGCAGACACGCCGACAGGTAGGCCACGTGAGACTTCGGGACGGCAGACACGCCGACAGGCAGGTCACGTGAGACTTCGGGACGGCAGACACGCCGACAGGCAGGTCACGTGAGACTTCGGGACGGCAGACACGCCGACAGGCAGGCCACGTGAGACTTCGGGACGGCAGACACGCCGACAGGCAGGTCACGTGTGACTTCGGGACGGCAGACACGCCGACAGGCAGGCCACGTGACACTTCGGGATGGCAGACGCGCCGACAGGCAGGCCACGTGTCGTGAGACTACGGGATGATAGACGTGCCTGACAGACAGATCACGTGGTCAGACTGGTGGATTTTCCATCAGGCCGCGGGCAGTCGCAGGTGGTGTTTTGTGACGGGTTTCTTACGATTCCGACAATGTTAAACATGCCGCTACCCGGCGCGTCCAACAAAGGTCGGCATCCATTGTTGCTCTTTTATCGGTCTTTTTATGCGATGTCACAACGTCAGATTATAATTGGCGGGACCAGATGGGCGGGACCAGATTAGCCCAGTCATTGCCGAGGACTAGACGCGTGCTCTCTTCTTGACCTCCATGTACAGCCTGGCCAAATCCACCTCGCTTTTCTTGCGTCGGGAGGAGCCGACCCTCAAACGTTCAGCACCGCCATGGTGCCAGCTGCCGACTGTTTGTCGTGAGCCGCGCCGCTGCCATCCGACCTTGCCAAGGTCGCGCTGGAGTCCGGGCCCTTAGTCAGCCTACCTTTGTTTTGTGGGGTCCGATGGCCTATCGTTCACTTGTGACCATCATCCCGCCCACACTACGTGACTCACCATCACGGAGATGCCGAGTCCGGCTGCAGTTCAGAGAAGGCAGGCCTATCCGTGGCGCCGTTCGCAAATCCGCAGCCCCTGCCACACGCGAAGCAGCCCCGCGAACCGCGAAGCAGGCCTCGCGAACCGGCGGGCTGGTCACTCGAGGAAGTGGCGGCGGTCTGGTGCCGCTCGTGAACCCCCGTTTTTACGGCCGGCCGCCGCCCACGGCCGACAGGTCGCCTCGGTGACCCGCCGAGTCCGTCTGGTCAGATCGGTTCGTCGGAGACGTGCGCGGAGCGGTCGTTCGTTAGCGTGTCTGTGGCCGGGCCGAGCCAGTCGCCGACCGACGGGGACGGGGGGGGGGAGGGGGAGGGTCAGGCGGGTTACTGCGGCGCCTCGGCCGCCGCCCCGGCGGCTAAGACTCGCCCGCCGCCCGCGCGGACGCCAGGGGTCAGAGGCGGCGCCGGCCGGCCGTCGTGTCCGGGTTGAACGGCCGCGCGGCGCCGGTCGCGTGAGGCGTGACCCGGTCGCACCCCGGCAAGGATCTGCGGGCCGATCGCGGTCATTTTGTGGTGGGCCATTACCCCACGGGGACAGGGGTTAGCGTTCAATGTTGGTCAACCGCTTCTCAAGTCCAAATTAAGCCACCTGCGTTCGAGCAGTAGTCACCGCTATAGCCATATGCAGGCATTAGAATCGCTTCATTAATTACCCGGTCAGTGTAATGCCTGTTCTAATGCATGCATTAGAACAGGCATTAAACGACGACTTAAATAGGCGGGTTGTCTGCGTTCGAGCAGTGGTCACCGCTGTAGTCGTATGCATGCATTAAAATCACCTTATTAATTACCCGGTCAGAACATAAGAAAAGTAGTGACAGACCACTTTCCGCACAAGATCACTGAACAGTCTGCATTGCTGTGATTAGTCATATGTGCCCAAGGATTATGTAATGTTAATATATAGGCTCCAATGGATCTGAGGATAAACTAGGAGGGAAAAGGCCAACTCATAAGCCATGATAGGACATAATGGCACCACGCTAAAACGCAACCCCGGGCGACAAGCCACTCCGCCTCCACCTCTTGGTGATTTTCCGACTTCTGGGGCTTCTGCCGCATGGTGACGAACAACCCTAGAACTAAAGCCGTTTGTCGCTGCACAATAACAGAGCAGGCTACATGGCTAAGCACGGTTGCAACTGACACAGAAAGCGTTTAGCATGTAGCTAGCGTCGTACCGTTGTTTGATGACTCGCACGATAGCTGTTGATAACCGCTTGGTGAGCGCTGGCAACGTGTGCGATCCGTAGTGATGTACACGCTACCTACGTACCTCGACAAAGCCCCGCTGCGACCGACGAATGCTTCGGAAGGCCTCATAGTCTGCATACTGCGAGTTCCGCCGGTAGTCCATTTGCTGCTCAGTTCGCTACATCGGCTGAACAGGCCGTCATACACTCGCGTGCCGCCCCGCCCTCTCCCCTTGCCCCCCCCCCCCCCACCCCTCCCTCCCGGCTGACTAACCGGGCGTCCGTCGGCCAACAGGAGAGGGCGGTGACGAGGAGCCGCAGCAGCTGCTGTTCACCGCACCTGGCGGCTACGGCCCGGCTGGCGCCGGCGGGCCCTGGCGGGTGGCCGGCGGGCCGGCCGTGCTGCTGCTGCAACCTATCGTGCTGCCGCTGTCGCTGGCGCAGACGAAAACGGCCGACCCGGAGCAGCAACTGGACTACTACGGCGCGGCCTCCTCGCGGCGGCGCCGGCAGCCCTTGACGCTCGCTCAGCTGCTGCGCCAGGTCTACGGGCTCTAGTCGCCGCCGGCCACGCACGCATCGCAGACGACCGCCGCCTCTGGGCGTCACCGTCCGTCGCCTCCAGCTGCCGCCGGTCCCGCGCCGCAGACGTCCGTCGCCTCCAGGTGCCGCCGGTCCCGCGCCGCAGACGTCCTTCGCGCCAAGATACGGCGGACCGGGGACCTGCCGCCTTCCCAAGGCCTTCACGCTCCTGTCGGAACTCGCAACCGCGTGCCCGGCCGTAGCCGGCGGGCGTGGTCATGCGCTGCAGGTATGTCCCGCCCGCAGCGGCCTCCGGCACCACATAGGACCGTCCTCGCGGAGCCGCTGGCCCGACGGTCCGGATTCTGTCGTCGCTCTCCCTACTGCGGCTGGGAGGGAGCACAGGCGGCTGACGGGCTGGTCGGCTGCCGAGGAGGCAGGCGGACTCAACACCGGCGTTCCGAGCGAGCGTTGTGGCCGGCGCCGAACGCGGGAGGCTATCTGATGGGCATTACTGGCGCCCGCCGTTGCGCTCCAACGCCGTGGCTGCTTTGTGTGGGCTTCTGGTCGTGTGGTGTCCTCGACGTCTGACGGCGTAGTGTCCTCGGCATAGTGTCATCGACGTAGTGTCATCGTCGCACTGCCATCGACATTGTGGAGCATGCTTGATGCACCAGTGCAACGTGGCTTTTTCTGACGATTTTCACTGACGCTGGATGAGGGCCTGTGCCTTGCAAGCTGACGTAGCTGTTGGACAAACCAGTGCCAGCATGTCGTGGGGCGGGTGATGTGCACTGCTCTCGACGTGGCCACTAACCTAAGGATTCTTAATGCCATTTTGTGGATGTGTCCATACTCTTAAATATACTATCGTGAACGCAACAGACGTGTTTTGAATACCAGTTTGTAGGTTTGTCACTCAAATTTATGCGCATCGCTAGCCTACGAAAGACACGTTTAAAATTTGATTTTTAATATAGGATAACATCACATACCATCATGACACTTATCACGTGACATTCTGTTTGTCGTGCATTGTGGTCCGGGCGTTACGTGCCTCAATGACAGGGGCGGATCCAGCATGGCGGCAGGGCCCGTGCGGGTGTTGAGACCCGTGCGGGTGTCTAAGTCGGTCAGAGACCACGAACACCAAACAGTCGGCTCTATGTCCGTCTGAGCCCTTGAGGCCCACTCCTCAAGCAAAAACGAGGCCGGGGTCCGCGATTTGCAATGTTCGGGGTCCCTGACACAATAAGGGGCTTCTGTGTCGGTTAGGAGCCACAGTGCCGAACAGGGGTCCTGTGGCGGCAAGCGACCCCGAGTCGGGGCGTTGCCTGAGGGGGCCCGATGAGGGGCCGAAGGGTCCCTCGAGACCAAAGATCAAGGGTCTGATGGGATGGCTGAGGGATCCGAGGAGCTGGCTGTAGGTCACATTAAGGACCCCCGCCGATACGCCTTGATCTCAGATGTCAGTAAGATGATCTCTTGCACCGATCGGGGCCCCTGAGACGGAGCGTTCCTCTATTTCGGCCAAAGATCACGACAAACGAGCAGTCGGCTTCACGTTGGTTTGATCTCTGGGGGCCTATTTTCCCAAGCCCAAGGGCCGGGCCCGCGATTTACGTTGGTCGGGGTGCTGTATCGTTCAGGATCCCACAGTGCCGAACGGGGCACTGTGGTCATTCTATGTCATCAAGGAGCCTCGAATCGGTCAGAGAAGATTTGCTCAAGAACGGGAATGCGAGCCCGAATGGCAGAGTGTCTATTACGTTAGTCGAGGCCCTCTGACAATTAAAGGAAACATAAGAACTTATGACGCATGCCCACAGTGAGGGTCAGAATGTCCACAAAAGGGTCCTGTGCGAGTCAGGGCCCCCAGCACCGAACGGTGTGCCCTCGTTGGTTACCAATCGCGTTGGTTACTGCGATTAACGCCCGGGGACGGGCGCCGAGCGCGCAGGGATGCGCAGAGGAACAATGCGCGCGACAAGGACCATCGTAAAACAGTATTTCTGAACGTCTTTCAAAATTTATTCGCACATTTGAAAAATTACAATGGGTAAGACTTCTTTTAAATTGGTTAATTCTGTGTTCTGGACAGGTTTACAGTTGCAGAGTTTGCCCTTACTCTTCCAGTTCCATCACCAGATTACACCACTTCACGGCGCTGTTAAGACCAACACGCTATTGACATCAATCTAAAAACCGCACAAATGAAGCATACGTCCGGAATACCATCATATGTACGATGCGGTGTCCAAGGCGTTCAGAGCTACTTCTTTAAGGTGCGTCACCATTTTTGTTCACCTATTGGCCACGACCTAGGGTGAGATGCGGGGCCGATGCGGCGCGGCCTAATGAAACTGCAACGTCTGGCATCGAGTTTTTTTTGTTTCTAGGGTATGCGAGCACGCACGTCAAACATGGACTGACCATGTTGACACAAATTGTTGACCCATTTTAACTGCATTTTACCTTCGCGGAATCCTTGCTATTTCTTACATCCCAGATAAAAGTTCTGACAAAGTTTATGAGCTCTATCGGCTTAAAAAGAGTCCACCGGGCCATGTAGCGCCGGCGATGTATTTCATCTCGTCGTTTAAGGCATGATTATGTCAGTTTATTTGTTATAAACTTAGGACAAATTGATATCGTGGTAGCGTCTGGCCTATATTCCAGTTATAGAATGTAAGAATGTGTAACAGAGAGAGAGGAGAGAGAGAGAGAGAGAGAGAGAGAGAGAGAGAGAGAGAGAGAGAGAGAGAGAGAGAGAGAGAGAGAGAGGAGAGAGATGTATATTATATATATATATATATATATATATATATATATATATATATATATATATGCGTGTGTGTGTGTGTGTGTGTGTGTGTGTGTGTGTGTGTGTGTGTGTGTGTGTGTGTGTGTGTGTGTGTGTGTGTGTGTGTGTGTGTGTGTGTGTGTGTGTGTGTGTGTGTTGACATATCATCAATAACAAGTGGGCCATATCCGGCGATTTTTTGGTGAGGGCCTTTTGCTATTAGGGGACCCTTTGCCAACCCTGTGCCCCCCCCCCTGTGCCAAGGCTCTGGCTGCACCCCTGCCCAGAACCTTCGCCACGCGATGGCAGAGCGATCGTCCGTTAGCGGTAGTGTGTTCATATAGGTTACCAGAAGCATGTGCCCTCTGCCTTACAACATTTTCATCGGCAGGTATGAACCCCGTCCCCGATCGCCGTTGTTTCGTAACGCGGACTGGTATGGGGTCGATGGGAGCTCCCTGCCGTTTCCAAACTTAGAAGGATAGAGCTTAACGAGACACGCCGGTGGATTTTTCTGACGAGGGTATGCGATTGAAAATAGGTTGCATGCTACCAGGCAAAAAAATGACCCTACTACAGCAGGTCAAAAAAGTCCAATTTTCCCGCAAATCATCCTTTTTGCCTTTACGCGTTATAACCATGCCTCGTAGCGACATAAACATTACGCTTGCATATGTTTCCTGTTAAATTCTGAGTACAATAGTGCATAGCTTGCAGCGTTTCGTGAATACATCTATCATATCTCAATGAAGCCGTGAAGCGTGGCAACAGTGCCGTCGGTGCGCAGTCCGCAGCATTGTCGGCTGCCGCCCACCGCCGGCGCCGGCCGGTGATTGTCGTTCAGTGGACCTGTACCGTGATGCCAAACGCCACGACGGTCGTCAGAACTGCCGAGCTGAGCCTACCAATATGGTGTCAGGGTGGAAATGTTGGTGCTGATGCCATCGTTTGGAGCAGTAAAGCCGGCGAGGAACATAACTGGAACGGGCCGGCCGTCAGGCACCTGCGTGCCGGGGTGGTGTTGGCGCGCAAGAGTGCCGCCATAGCCCTGTGCTGTGCTGTGAATGTAGTCGAGGGGGAATATCGGCCCTGACCTCAGCTGACGTCCTGTTGGGTTTGTTGGCATGCGACCGAGACCGGATGAGGCCGTCGTGCTGGTTCCAAGGAACACGAACACAGGACGGGGAGGACAGACTTGGACACTTTTGAAGTGTCAGATATGGGGGCGTGTGGCGAATTCATTACGCCATACGGAAACGTAGCACGCAGTACCCATCGAGGCAGTTCAGCTCCCACAGTTCGTTCTTTCATGTTTGCTCCATATTTACTTCAATCACCTTTATAATGAACAGCGAAAACATCTGATTTGGGTTGAAGTGGGCATGACGAGAGAATAGTGGGTCATCATAGGACTCGTGAAATAGTAGGAGATTATGAATGGACCAGTAAATCCGAGCAGAATATTAAGTTTCTCATTGGGATCAAGTAAGCACCTAGTGTTCCCGGGATAAACGAAGCGCTGATGGTGAACTAACCTGTAGATACCTAAACCGCCAATAACATCAGCCTGTGGATAACCTGACTTGATTTATAACTAAGTTTTATCACTGCATGTTACATAATGGTGAAAACGGTGGCACTGGCAAAGAATGACGACTTCAACATTAATCGCGTCACGACATTTGAAAGTAAGATAACGTTCGCAATTTAAATGATAAGTTATCAACCCATGTCATGGTCCGAACACTAAAAAGGGGTCATAAGTAGACCACAGCCATCACTTGATGCTTCTCTAGAATTGTAGTTGAAAACATCATTCAGAGTCAGAAGTTATTCTGGGTCGACATTCGTCCCAAATCTTCTCCGTCTTACGCTAGGTCTAACCATGCGTATCGCAGACAGACTGGCCGATGTCCCGGACAGGTCCCGTTTCCTATCATTGCGGCGCCATCAGGTATACACTGCTACGAAAATAGACCAGGCGTCAATCAAATCCAAGTATGTCAAAGCCTCGTTTCCGAACAGATGACATTCTTTGGAATGAGACAAGTATTTTGACCCAAGTTAAAAATCGCGACAAACCGGTTCATCGCCAACTGACTTTAATGTGAAAAGCATTTGAACCCTTGTGATATCCTTTACGCTGACATACACACTTCATTTTATACACATACACGTTTTAATTTTCTTCTCGCAATGAAAAAAAATCGTGTATGGCAGACACGTCCACTTGTTCCAATGTGTACTGGCTTGCACGAAGCTGCTCAAGTAAACAAGGTTGCCTCCAGCCAGAGCAAAGCTCCGCCTCCTGCCATCGACAGCACGTGACAGCCAGCCCGGCACCTTGCCGTGTGTGTCTTGTGTGTGTCTTGTGTGTGTCTTGTGTGTGTCTTGTGTGTGTCTTGTGTGTGTCTTTGCTTCGTTATCAGGCGGTTAGCCTGTTCCTGTCGCTTGTTCGCCCGCTAGCCCGGCCGCCGCCGTGTGCCGCCGTCTCCGTTTTCCGGTCCTTGTCTCCCTCGTCTCCGTTTTCCGGTCCTTGTCTCGCTCTGTTTTGCAGCGTTTATGTTTCCACCAAAATTACAGTGGCAGTAGGGGCACGTGCTCTATACATTTTGAACGTGCGTGAATGCAAGTGAGTGCATATCACAACTTGGCGTACGAAGGGGGAGAGGAGAAAGGGGGGGGGGGGGGCAAAGGAGGACTCCAAGACCCTCAAGGTTTTTCCGGGAAAGCATTTGCAATTTGGAGTATAGATAAAACAGTGCTGTTAGTGTGGGGACGTTTCCTGTGATGGGCGTTCGTGCGCTGCGCTGCTACCGGGCCGCCGCTGGATGTTTGTGCGCCGCCGGCTGCTGCCGTCACGCCTCCCCACAACAGCGAATTTATAATGAGGAGCCCATTGGTCAGCATGCGAGCCAGATGATATTAGCGCACGACTCGGCACGTTGTGGCTCCGGTACACCCGACATCATCACACACTCTTGTGAGCCACAGAGCTAGAATGAAGCGGGCGACCGGTCCATTGGCGGGATGTTAGGTCCGGTCAGGCACCATGAACGGCTGGCTCCCCGTGCATGGC